TCCTGAAAGTCGACACTTCACGCTATCTTTCCATGTGCATATCTCAAAATTGATTTTTTGATCAAAATTGACTTTTTCTGGGTAGGGGGCCTTAATGGTTGAAAAGTCGTTCGAAGGCGTGTCAGTAATAACGCCGCAAGCTAGGCTTCTTAGCAGTTCTCTTAGACAGTAGATAGTTCAAATTAGTGTGGTCATAATTTGAAGATATAACTGGGACGATATTCAGCTTATGAAGACCACCGTCAAGAGTCCATAAATTAGCTGTTAATAAATATTCTAAAGCGTTTAAAGACACATCGACTAATATTCTCTTATCGGTATAAACGCTAGAAATGTGAGTGCTTACTAATCCAATCGCTGATCTCTGTGCAGTTATGCTCAGTTGACAATAAATGTACTTTCACTTTCAAATGAAAAGCATTTTTTGAACTTCGCACTGTGTGAGAGAACGGCTAAGAAGTTTAGCTTACGACTTTATTAGTGACAAGTCTTGGAAAGACTTCATAACCACTTGATTCCATTTGAACTGTGAGGGTAACGGTTTTGAAATAGAAAATATAAGCTTTTTTATATATATGCGTATATATAAAAACTGTTTGGAATAAGTTTTAAAATAATTTTCTTTTCTTTTGCGTCAAAGTGTATTTTTCTTTTCGTTTACATAGTCATAGCTATTGTTGAAAATGGCCGGTTAAAGGTCGAAATGTCTCAAAATAAATCATGTTAAAATTACAAACAGCTGCTAAATTAATTATATTTCTTGATTCGAAACATTAAGGTTGTTGTTGCACAATGGCTCTAAAATTTGTCCACTAAATTAATGTACTTTTTAATATATAGACAATACTTATTTTCAATCAATGAAGCTTCTGGGGTATGTAGACGAAATCTCAGGCTATCTGTATTACTCCTTGAATATCTTTAAAGAACTATGGTTTAGAGAAGGAATCGTAAAAACAAAGTGATCTTCACACTTGTTTCATTCAGAGAAAAGTGCCAAAACTACATCGCAATGGATTCGCCAATGTATTAATCAAAGTTAATCAATTTTCTTAGAGATATCAACTCCGAACAAAAACCAGTATTATAAAAGTTCCATGAAATCATATGCTCTTTCATCCTGGATACTTTTCGAGAAAATTCGAAATAGGACCAATTCTCGTTCTTATTGCCCGCCCTCCTTTCCATTTTCTATAGAATGGTGTGACAGAAATGACTTCAGCTTCTTTCACAAGTTGATAAATTTTGTTTTCTCAGCAAAAAAAAATCTATATATTCAAGTTCGAACAAAATGTGTGTCTCACTATCTTAAATTACCAATATCGCTATGGAAAATGTACTTAAACGAACTCATTGTACACTATTAGATTCATCTTTTCATAGCATATGCGACAGTAGTTATCAAAAAATTTTAGAAAATATGAAAAATCAAATAATTTCTTCCTTCTGCGAAATGATGTAAATACTCAACATTCTGCTCTAAACTGCAATAGAAATAATTTTTAGTTTAGATTGAAATCAGACACATACAAGACCAATATGAAACAAACTATATATATATACAAATTTAATACTAATATCTAAATTCAAGAATACTGTTTCGAGAGAAATTTCAAAGCTTCAATTTGTGGCAAATGCAAGCTCTTCATAACATTGAGATTGATACAAAGTTTTTGCATACTTGTATATATCTCTTCGGGGGGAGGGAGAATGTGAACTGTGAGATTTTGTTCATTATCATTTTAATGGTCAAAAACACAAAAAAATTATCTAAACACGAAACAAAAACATTACACGAAACTGAATTTCTGATGTGAATAAATGCAGTTTGAGAAAAATAATACAGTTTTGACTCTCACGTTCTTCCTGATTACTAGTACTCGTGTATTCACATATCTATATATCCATGAGCTATTATGTGCCGTATACCTACAACCGGACACATACTATTCATACCAAAAAGCAGCGTCCATAGCTATTTTTGTAATAACTTTTGGCAGAAAGCAGTTAGACAGTTCTTGTTTTCTATTAGGATTATGTTGATTTTTTTTTATTACTGTAGAACGTACAATATTGAAGGTCTTTTATATTCTATTTATAATAAATGTAGAAAGGGATTTTGAGAACCTCTGGTTTTTCGACAGACTTTCTAGAAAGTCTCTGAATAAAACATGGTTCTTTAATCTTTTCAATTTTATAATCACGTGTAGAGGACAAAATGAAGTATATTCCGAAGTTTTGAAGTCATTCTAATATATTTTGAGTGATTACTGAACTGTTTTAGTATTAGGTGAAAACGGTCGGAAAAACCTTACTTTTCGAAAATCGTAATTTTCGATAGGTTATGAAATCTTTATCTAGAAAAAAAACATTGCCAGGAGACTCAGCGTGATCGGTTACCTATAATTCATCCGCTTCCGAGGTTACCAATAGTCATCGGATACCATTTCTGAGATTCTGAGGAAATTTGATTTCATACCTGACCACTGGAAAGCGAAATCCTCCTTGACTTCCATTCTGCAGAGAATACTCTGAGCTATCAATCCATGAACGAAAATTCAATATAGTCCTAATGGAAATTTTTGAGATTTTCTAACAACCTTCTAGAACGTCTACTGAAAAACGCCTTCTGGAAAAATAAAAACCAGGTCCCAGGTCTCCTCTTTCGACTGGCGAAAACCAGAAGTCGCTAACTACGTCTGTCAAAAATTATTCCAAAAATAGCCATGGGTACTGCTTTTTGGTATTGATAGTACTATATGAAATATTCGCTATTATGTCGGTATGCCATTAGTAGTTGATTTCCATGCATGGGGAGTAAGAGCATTAATTTTTCTCATAGCCGCCATTCTTCCTCTTGTATAACATTGATCAGTCTGTAGGAATCGAACTTTGGTCAAACGATTGATCTAAAAAAAAGAATTATAACACTAATGTACATTGATTTCGCATTTACCTACCAATGCATCTGTTTCTTCAATTGACAGATATTTTTTTGTTGGAGATTGTGATGGTGTATGAGAAAGTCTACATCTGACAGGACTGTTTAATCTTTCAACAACATCAACTACTTGCTCGTGTGTTGCTCGTTGATATCCAAGAGGGAATGGTGGATGAACAATTGTTCCTATAAAAAGAGTTTTTATATGCAGTATATACAAATGAAGATTTGTTCTCACCCCATTTTTGTCTACTGCTTGGCACTCGTTGAATGTTTGTTGTATCTGTCAGGCGACCCCAATCGTCCACCATTAATCGTTTTAACTCATAAGCTCTCGTTGGTATACGAGAATATTCGATGACGGTTGAATTTAAACTGAAATTGGGTGATGCTCGTTCTTTTATTGTTTCATCCACTATTGTCTTGTCGTTACTTTGAAACGAGTTATTTGGTGATATTGTTTCTTTGAGTGTTTGATTATGATAACGAAAACGTTTATTTTGATCTTGTATTGCTGTATCTCGTCGAAGAAGCCGAGTATTATTGTGAAGTAGATTCTGCGATAAACGATTAGGTGGTATTTTATGATGATCGAAATCGAATATCTGAGAATTTGCTATAGAAATGCTTGAGCGTACAGACGAACGACGGACATTCGTTTTTAAAGCATTAGTTATTGATCGTTTGTCAGAGAACGAATGTTCTGTATTTTCTCTGGTTCTCAACTTTGGCTCATTCATTTCAGTTTTCGGTTTTCTATGATAACAGTCAACAATTGTTGAACTACGAGTGATAATATATTCGTTTCGTTGTGGAAGTTTTTTGTTAGAGTTTGCTTTAAAGTTATTTTCTCGAGAGAACGATTTTAATGTGAGATGAGGAGTAATACTAGTATTATTAACTTCATCATTTTTACTTGTTAAACTCATATCAGTCACAGTTTTCTCTTCGCTTTTGTCAGGAATTTCCTCTTCTTTGATATCGTTATCATCATCGTCTAGTTTCGACACAGGTATTTCATCATCAATTTGATCGTCTATGTCATCATTATAGTTGAATTTAGTTGTTATCGAAATGCCTGTTGAGTAAGGTCCACTTGATTCGTAGTCGCTTAATGGACAACATTCTCTGTCGGACTCACTCCAGTCGGATATATTGTCATTATCTTCATTGTCCGTTACTGATTTTGGTCTTGAAGCACGAACATCTCGTAATTCTAAATGCCGTGCACGTTGTACTGCTAAGCGATCGACGCCATTATCGACATTTCTAGACCATGAATTCAATCGGTTTTGCTCAAATGCATTTGGAATTTGTTCGTGTATCGATGTCATTGCTTTAGCTACAACTATAAAAAAACAATATTTGCTCTGTATGAGATACGATAGAACAGGGAAGAAAATGTTTCTGCGAGGAACAATGAATCATAATATTTTTTCAAGGAAATTTTAGTTCGTGCAGCTTAACGCGAACGTAGAACCTGTGACTGTCCGAAAACTGAGCATAGAACAATATAGGATTGAAAGTTTCAAACATCGTGCAATAACATCTGTAAATGGTTCTTTCAATTCTTTACCCAGAAAGAAGAAAGATGACTATTGAAAAATAAGTACTTAGGGCATACCAAAAGTAGTGGCAGTGGTATTTTTATCCCTTATAGAAAGGTTAAAGAAACTTTCTTTTATATAGTCTGATAGAGAAAAGAATGTTCTATTTTTCTATGCTATTTGATCATAC